GCTTGTCCTTCAAGAGGTCGATGCCCTGTGCATGATGCATTCCATCCATTTCACATCACAGAAAAATCATGGAAAATCATGAAAGTCCATCAAACTCAAGGAAGTGCCAACCGCCCTGCCTCCTTCTTCTGGAAATCCTCGGCCAGCCAATCAACAACAACCTTGTCGAAGTCATCGCCACCCAGGTGAGTGTCGCCGTGTGTGGCCAAGACTTCGCAAACACCGTCGCCAACCTCCAAGACTGACACGTCAAAGGTGCCACCTCCCAAGTCAAAGACCAAAATTGTCTCGTTGTTCTTCTTTTCCAGGCCATAGGCCAGCGATGCTGCTGTAGGCTCGTTCACAATACGCAGCACGTCCAGTCCGGCAATCTTCCCCGCATCCTTGGTGGCCTCCAAGCGAGTGGTGCGAAGTGGCGCGGGAGCAGTGTGCGGTGAATGTCACGATTTGCACGCGTGATGATCTCTATAACTACCAGCACCTTCATGTAGAGTGACTGCTGATGAATAAAACTCTCCATATGAAATGATATGAAGATATATTTTTTTTCTATGAAGAGGTTTTAGGATCGAAATTGGGGGCGGTGCTTAGTCAACAGGTGTCAACAGTCTACATCATGTCAGAGCATCAACAGAACTTGGACCGAACTTGCGGGCAAAAGACACCCGGTCCACTTCGTGATGTCTGAGCTAACTCAACATGTTCCACAACGGCCTGTTGACGGGTCTCACCCCTGGGGATCGTCAACCACACATCCTAAGCGCTTCCGGTGTGGCCCTGTGAAGCGACACCCCACGCCGGAAAAGGTGCCCTCTTTTCGTGCAGAAAGCTACATGAGTCAGGAGTGTCACGACCAAGGGAAGCACTCTTGACATACCAGGCCAACACTGGGAACATCGGACGAAGCAAAATAGATGGATGCACGCGTGGAAGGCTTCCTGCTGACTACATCATACAAGACTAAGAGAGCACTTCATCCAAGCGGGTTAAGCCACTTCATCCATGGTTTGATCGGTTTCATCGAGCTGTTTCATGCATGGTGCCAAGTCTGGCCTGACGCTGGGAGTCGTTGAAGTAGGCTGGGACAGTGACGACAGCCTGCTTCATGTACATTCACTGATTCAAAAAAGGGCTACGCAAGACGCAAGACACAAAGAAACCTGTTGTTCAAGTGGCTCGCCTTCTGGACATTGGCGCTCAAGTACTTTCCAGCATCGGCACTCAGCTTTCGAAGCACCTGGGCAGAGACCTCCTCTGGGGCAAACTTCTTGCTCATCACGGGGCAGTCGATCTTCACTTTTTGCCCTTCGAAGTCCACCTTGTAGGA